CCCCCATCCCAGATACTGGCCACTAGAACTGGGAGGTCTGTGTGAAGGATATGGCGTCGCTCTTGTCGACGGTGAAGCCACCGTTGACGTACGACTTCTTCTCGCCGTCTTCGTCATCCGTGGTGGCTTCCAGGGCAAAGGGATTCACCACATCTACGTCTGACGTAATATCCATCCTCTCCAGCTCCTTCTTGGACAGTTTCTGTACTATTCCGGCCCCGAAGGCATCACCCAAGACGTTGATCATGGTGCGGAAACGGTCTCTGATGGAAATATAACGGCACAGGAATTAAATACGCCGTTTCTGGCGGTGATAAACATGTCTGGAGGTTCACCGGAGGTTCACTGTTATCGTCAGAGTGGCCTACGCCGAAAGCATGCAGAGAAAGGGGGATGCACCTCCAGTTATCAGAAGACGAGAAGTTAACTTACAGCAGCCAGTCCACGGCAACTATAAGAGTGACATCATTGGCTGGAAGGCCCACTGCAGTCAGGACGATCACCATGGTTACCAGGCCTGCATTTGGAACCCCAGCAGCACCGATGCTGGCAGCTGTTGCTGTTATACTGGGGGCCAAAACCGATGCGACATAGATTCTCAGGCAAAGCTTAAACTAAGCACTTATCACAGTCACTGCCCTGTTTATTTAGTAGAAATTGGGTTAATAAAACCAAGATAACATTACCATCATACTAGGCAGCATCGACACTGTTTGTCTTTGAGATAAAACAGTGCAGGACATTACCTTCTTAATATGTAATAGCAACCGACAATTTTTGTGGGAATACCTCTGCAATTAATTGCCATTAGCCACAGAGAGAATTCTCAGAGAGCGATTCATCATTTAATATTACAGTTAAAGGTCTGCTTGACCTTTGCAGAGGACTTTAAAACATTAATGTGAATCACTGGCATGCACTGTTAGCATTCTGGCAGCGTCTCCCAATGCTGACCTCGAGCGCGACGTTTTACCGCATTAATCTGACCGGTTATTGCGTCGGCCACGGGGCGGGTGACCTTGGGCGCACCTGATTGTGACGATCTGACCCACGTCCAGGGCGTAGTCATTCAGCTGAGCGATGAATATTGCGGCCACTGCCTCGTAAAGGGCCGTGCCGTCCATGTTGATGGTGGCGCCCACGGGCAGCACGAAGCGCGTGATGCGCTTGTCGATCATGTTGTTCTCCTCGGCGCACCGGAAGGTTACGGGCAGCGTGGCGGAGCTGATGGGCACAGCGCGAGTTAATGTTCTTTTCAGCTGCAATTCCGCGTAAACGCACTTCACTTTGTCCTGCCTTAAGTATAGGCAAAACAAATGGCACCATCTACCAAAACTCCACACTGAGCAAAAGCCACACAATGCTACGTTTACCATTTTTCAGTTTGGAGTGTCTATTTGCACCCGGGTGCAAATAGCATCTGCCCCCTCTCTTTGGCTATTTAAAGCCAGGTACCTCAAGCCCCACCCCCTGGCTCCACAAAAAACATTTACGGTGTTGTTTGCATGCTTGCATGTCACAGCAATGGCTGAAGGTGACAAAGTGGGATATAAATATATAAAGTATAATAATAATAAATAATATTGACAACAACAACAAAACAGCAACAAGACAACAACAATAACAGCAACAACAACAAAACAACAAGATCAACAACAACAATAATAATAATAATAATAATAATAATAATAATAATAATAATGCATTGCTGGCTACGGACACCTGGGTGCAGCTAGCATCCCCTTTTTTAATTTCATAAATGTTTGTTGTGGAACTTCTGCTGATAATAAATCATCTGAAAGATTACTAAGTGATATACCTGCCCCAGCAGGAAGAGAAGATTGATGAGTTTCACCGGCATTAACTCTTCCAAGATGAGGCATCTGATCTCGGATGGTTTAAGCTACGTACGGAAAATACCCCCCCCCCCCCCGGTCCCGCTTGCAAAGATAAAAACACTGAGAGGGGCAGTGCAAGCTTAAGATGGCGAGCAGAGGTGTAAGTGGATAACAGACTGCAGTGAAGCCTGGCACTGACTGAGACAAACCTGGAGGAGATCATGAGGGCCGTTAGCAGCGCCTGGGCCATCCCAAAGGCAAACTTGAAGGGGTTCTTCCTCACAAACAGGAAGTAGATCAGTGGGAGGAAGACAGTGGAATGGATGGCCAGCCTGTAGAGATGTAACACAAGCATGGTTGGTCTAGTCAGGCTGCTGTTGGTTGAACGGAATTCCAGCTCATGTCAGATATTTGTATTTTGTATTTCTTTCGCTCTGGATCGAGGGACAGCTAATGAGTTTTACTGTTACACAGCAAACAAGAAGAGAGCCCGAATCTGGCATTCTACACTTTTCACTAGAGGGGACCTCGCTTGGCCGGCATGTGAGAATGGATTTTAGGAGTCAATGAGGGGACATCAGCGTTAGATGTTAAGTACAAGCCCTCCATTCTGGCCTGGTTTACATCTCCGGCCATGGCGTTCTGTTACAGGACTCTCGTTTTATGCACCCTGAAACACAAAGGAGCGAATTCACCTCCCCTAAGAACAGGGTATTAGCATGGCTCACCCGCTAAGCACTGTTACCATGTAGAGGCCCAGCTTCCTAAAGATGTCCCAGTCTTCCACCTCGATGATCTTGGCGGCGATTAAGAACAGTATTCCTACTGGCATGTAACTGGAGACAGGACAAGGAAGGATGAAGCTCACGCAAAGTCGGCATAACTGCAGTTCCACATTTTTCCTTGGCATTAAGCTTATGGTATCACCTTCCCTCTTTCCCATCTACCAACTGCTTCTCTAGTACTGGGTTGCGTGGGGAGGGGGGGCTGGAGCCAAGCAGCACAAGGCAGGGGAACACCCACAATCTCATTCACACACTATTTAGAGATGTCGACTGACCAAACTGGATGTCTTTGGATTGCAGAAGTAAATGGGATAAACGGGGAAACTCTCACAGGTTGGAACATGCAAACTCCGCTCAAACAGAGCAGGGGGTGCGATTCATATTTCAGGTGAAAGTGTGACCCACTGGGCCTCTGTGCCGGACAGGCTCTGGTACCAGTAGAAGATAGGGCAATAGATTTAACAGCCTACAGTTACTGTTCAAAGACATACACTGGTAGCCAAAATTGCACAAACAACTAGCATTTTTGGCATTGCGCTTTAAAAATTCCTACCTTGATATTGGCAGTAATGTTTATAAACAATCAAAGAATGTTACAGATATCATACACTGGATGATTAAATAAGTAACTGGAGTAACTGAACTACAGTTCTGCAATCTCTAAAAATTGAAAGTGCTTCCACAATTTTGGCCACTAGTGTACTTTCCTGAGTAAGAATTCATCACAGGTGAACAGAATATGTCTGTTTAACCGCTTCCGTACCACATGATGACCTGGACAATCTTCATGGTGGCTTCGTTGAGCGCGTCGAAGAACTCCACAAGGATGCGGCCTCGCTCGCCCATCTTCCCGATGACCAACCCGAATACCAGGCAGAAGACGATGAGACCCAGGACGTTGATCCCGTCTGAGTACAGCCCCACTATCTTGTAGTCCTTTGTCACATTCTTCAGGGAGGAAGAATCCGTTTCACCGACAGTCCTGACAGTGTTAGAGCTCTGAAGGCTCAGAATATCTATAAATCATCTGAATTGGCCTGATTTCAATTAAAAAGCAAAACCTTTAGCCCCGTAGCTGTTTCTAGCTGATCAAGATTTCCTTCTGCTAAAAACAACCTATTTAAATGCACTTTTGGGTATTGTTCTGTTTTAGGAAATCTGTCTGAAATAAGTACAATAAATTAAATCCACCAATTATTCTAAGATAAATAATGGGAACATTATGACTCATACATAATAATTATTCTGTGGTTGCATCCACACACGGTGGTGAACCACATGTTTTTAGAGTCAGCGTGATGCGTGGAGACACCTACCTCCTGCAGAAGGGTTGTCATGACAGTGGTGACAGGAGAAGCGGCAGTGGTGTTTGCGGCCGGCTTGCTGGGCTCGATCTCCTCGCGTTTCGTCTTGTACTGCAAACCCAGGCGTATGTTGGTTACATTCGGCTATTTTAAAGGCGTGTTGCTTTGGGCCGGTCAGCTCGAGTGCCCTGTGTACCGTCTTGTCACATTTCGTTTTAAAAGCCACCAGACGGACGCCGTGCACGGTACCTGCTGAAAACACGCTTGGACAAGGTTCTCGGGAAACATGTTTCTGTCAAGCAAATGAAAACAGCATATTAATTACATACACTTATTATATTTTCCCCAAGCCCAACTTACAGTTATAATAAGTATCTGTTTGTAAACGTAAAGAACAAATTTATGAACAAATTTCGCCTAAATGCTCTGGGTTTAAAGGGAGTCGAGGATGAGGCAAAAATTCTGAACTGCAAGACAAAAGGTAAAGATTAGTATTGTTGATGTCACCTGACGAGATCCAGCATGGCGTCGACGGTGCTGACTTCCGGTGTGGACCCAGTCCTGTCTATGTTTTCAGCTACTTGAGAAACGCCAGGCTTGATAGTCATGACCAGAACAATTCCTGGAAAAGCCATTTCATGTCTCAGTACATTCTTCAGCCAAAGAAGTGCAGGTGGAGTATATTACCAAAGGATCAGTGATATCTGTGACTATCCATTTTGGTTTTGCAATGTTTAGTTGGGAAGATTCTGGATTATGACATGGTGACAGGTACAGAATTGTTTTCCTGCTACTCAGTGGTTACTCTGTTGGATCTTATTGGGTTAAAACAGGCATTAGATTACCCCAGCAAAGGTGAGTTGCAAAGTGTCATTTCTGATAGACCACAGCATGCTTTGGGCCTCATTACTCACCCAGGATGACAGCTATAATCGTGGTGGAGAAGTAGTAAATGACTGCACGCAATCCAATCTTGCCAGATACCTCAGAATCCAGGGCAGCCACTCCTGTAGAGCACAGCTGAGTCATACTAGCCCCGATACCCTTCACTGGGCCGCTGCTATTCCAATGGAAACCACTTCAGTGAACAGTGAAAAAGCAATAATGCCATTTGCATTAGTGCAGTATGCCCAGTGCGGTCTGCACATGTTGATGTCTGGTCTCTCCTCATCTTACCTTCACTGTCTGCCAATCATTGTGACACCAAAAGTTGACTTATGTCTTGATGTTGAATTGACTATTAAAAAGGCTATGTAGAAGAGGTGGGTCTAAGCAACTAGAGGGGGCGGGGCCAAGACATCTGATCGGTTGGTCCCGCCTCCTCTACAATCTGATTGGTTATCTCTCTGAAATCTTTCTGCCCTCAGAAGATTTTCGCGTAAGTGAAACCCCCATGAGAATTTCGCTATCACTGTGCCCATCGATTATTACAGGACGCCTGGTGGATTAGCAGTTAGCATTGTTAGCATTGTTGCCTCATTGCTCCGGGGTTCTGTGTCTGAGCCCTGCCCGACACTGACTGCTAAATCTGTGTGTGTTTATTCCCACACTGCAAAGACATCCTGTTCAAAACAAAAGCTGCTGCTAGAGTGTGAGTGATTACAGTATATGACAATGCCCAGCACTACGCTTCACTTTGACACACTACACTACTGAAAAAGTGCCAGTACCGAAATTGAACAGAACGCTCAAAGGCTGGATTTTATTCTACTCAAGAAGAGCAGATGTCCTCTAAAGACACTGTACTTTCATAGTTATTCACACATCATGTTAGCTTTAGCAGCCTATACCCCCTTAGTGACCAATTCCATGTTCCCACAGCTATAATAAACTGTCCATTTAAATTTAAAACCATGTTAAAATATGCTAATGTATTCATAAAAACAAGAATGCTAATCTGTGCATCTGACATGCAGTTATGGGCTACCGTATTTCTCTGTGTATTTGTTCCTGGGGAAATGGCTGCAGGTCACCGGGGCTCAGGAAGCTTTGGTCACCATAGGCTGTGCCCCAGCCAGCTTCTACTTGCCTGTTATCATGCTGGAGATGATGAGCGGGAGGATGACCAGCTTCAGCATCCGCATGAGCAGCTCACCCGGGAAGCCGAAGTAGTACTTGTTGAGCTGTGAGAGGGAGCCATACTCCCGGACCAGAACGCCCAGCCCAATTCCTGTGGCAAGGAGAGGGAGGAGAAAGGAGGAGTGTGGATCAGCACCGGGGAGGGACGGGGACAGCGGGCTGGGGATTAGCTGAAGTGGCACTGGGGGGTGGCTACCCCCACTGTTATGGTTAGTTTCAATATGAAAATTAGTTTCATATTATTTGCAATTTTCATTCAAAAACCAATTTAGCGTTGGCTGTTTTTCAGTGCGGTTTTATTAGTTTTTATTTTAAACACTTTTGGCATTTTTAGTTTTTTGATTGCATTCACAGAACTTTGTGGGGACCTGAAAAATAAACATTTGGTCCCCACAATGTAATATAAACATAATCACACACACACACACACACACACACGCACAGACAATTTGGCAACTCCAGTTGACCTTAGCATGTTATTTAACTGTGGGGTGAAGCTGGGGAACAGAGAAGAAATTTTATTTCTAGGTACAGACTAAAAGCTTTAGAGCTATTTCCAGTGTATGATCTTCAGAGAATCCTACATGAATAAACAGTGCATATTGTGCTCTGATGTCTTCAAAACAGGCAGAACATGTTCCACATATTATCAACGACAATTAAAGATAAACAAATCATTACTTTAGCTAAAATAGTATTTAGAAATCATAATTGAAAGCATTCAATGTTTGTTTTTTTATTTCAGATAGATTATAATTTTTGTTTAGTTGTAGTTTATTATTTCTGTGTCATATTCATTTGACAAAAAATGTCTTATTAAAGTTTTCATTTCTGTTAATGGTAATAATTCTGGCTCACTTAAAGCGGCATGAATGGGTAAGTGCAGGTAAGTGATTTTACCCCTTGTGAAAAAAGTAACACAGCCGCCTAGGTAAAAATATCCAGATTAAGACATTGATAAAGTGTTAAACTGCAGGCTGTGTATTTCCTTGCGTGTGTACCGAAACAGTCAGACACATCTTCTCCCATAACGATATCTACTTGACCAAAGGTCTAAGAACGTAAAATTACACAGAAAGCTGTAAAACTTCCTACTCATAATCTGGAATAAGTTCTTAACAGCGGTCTTTATTATCGTCCTTTGTGAGTCCAATGTGAAATTAAACCCATCATTTAATTTCACCATGTATTGTCCTCAGACACACCACTTGGCACAACTTTGATTCAGCAAAAAATTCACTTAGGAGTAAGATCCTCACTGCTTAATGGAAGATAATATTTTCATGATATTGTGACCATCGGTATCATGTGACCCCTTAAATATGCTTTTGGGCATTGTGTCTATTATGAAAAAATATAAACCTAACTTAAATAGGTCAGGATACCGGGGAAGGGAGCATCCATTAACCCTTAGATTCTGCTGGTACAGATATCGCTTTTAACTTTTACTGCGTTGTGAAATGTGCTTTTGCATCTCACTCGTTCCACCTACAGCAGCCCAAATTTATTACGTTCAACATGCTCCACTGTGCCTGATGGTTTCCTCACTTCCCTGCTGGTGCCCACATCCCACGAGGCCCTTATCAACCCACACAGTCACCTATAAATCCTTAATGAAAAATGAAGATGAAATTGCCCGGCATATTCGCTCTGCCCGTTGTTTATTTAATCACACGGCGTTATTATTGAAGCACTTAAAAGACCATTTCTCCAGTAGTTACACGTGTCAGTGGCTTGATTTAGATCTTTAGGACGGCTGCAAATGTATTTGCTCTGGCTGCTGAACTCTTTGATGTCCCTTCACAAACAACGTGCGCCGCGCGGGACATCTGTGTGATCTGCCAGGTGTCCACCTGCCAGAACGCATCCGGCAGCAAGGTTAGCCAGCCAAGCAACATCAGTAGATGCCCATTCGCAGCTTGAGGGTCTGACCTACAAGCATCAACCCTTGTTGGGTTCTACAAGAGTGGAGCACGTCAGGGAGGTCATGGACCTTATAAGCTATTTAGATCTTGGATTGATGGAGTAGAAGAGGGGCTCAACCAAAACGAGAAACAAAAGGTGCTGGAGTGATTGGATTAAAAACCTGTTTATTTCATAAGACAGCTACCAAGCATCAGTGGACAAGAAGATAATCCATAAAACTGCTAATTGCCTGCAGATGCACTAGAAGCAAAGGTCTGGGTGGGTCCTTTTTGCTCAGTTGGCAGAGATGCCCTTGCCTGATTATAGAGGTTGCGGCTGTAGACATTGCAGCTCACGATTCATTCAATAAGTCAGATATGGCTCCCGTTACAGCAACAGTGAAAAGAGCCCACTACACTAAGCTGCTTGTCAAAGTTAAGCGGGCTGAACAAATCAGTCTAACAAAAGAACTTCATTAGGCCTTCCTGAGACTGAGATAGCTGTGAGCTGAGTGCATAAACCCGGTTCCGGGAGATCGCTGTGCAAGTTTACTCTCACAATCATACACCCTAGAGCAAATTAATCGAAACAAGTTGTCACACAGACCTGCTGGTTTGCACAGCCAACGGGGTAGAGAGTACGCAGAGTGGATGGACAGAGGAGGCACTGTGCCCACAGACTGGCAGGCCTGCTTGGGTGGGGTTCGAGCCGGGAGGTATGACTGTGCTTCAGCCATCCATGTATGTTTCAGGTGAATGCTCTGTGGTTCGGGTGCTCCCCCCCCCCGTGTCGTTGTGAGGTTTCCTCTGGGTTCTCTGGTTTCCCCCCACAGTCCACAAACATGCTGAGGTTAATCGGAGTTTCCACAATCCCCACAGGCATGAATGATGTGTGTGCCCTGCGATGGATTGATGCCCCACCCAATCCACCCGATCCTAAATCTGGACCCAAGGGGATCAGTATGAATTAATGTGGCTGTGATGTTCATCTTAACTGCAGTCAGTCTCTGCATAAAGACAAGACCATTTGTTTCAATTAATTTGCACAAGGGTATATTATAATTGTAACCCCTTTGTTGTGTTTCGGTTGTGATGATTGTACCTGTACTATGTTGTGAGGCATCTTTTAAGCAACCATGTAACCATAATGATAACAGTCAAACTTTTTAGTCTTGTGATATGATGTCAATTGTTTTCTTACACCAACATTATTTTTTTGATTTTGCAAATAACTTTGTGCCTTGGTCCGACTGGTAATTAAGACGTATATAATGATTTATAATAACTTTATACTCAATGCTACAATACCAACTTGTTACTGGACTCTCAGTGAAAACTCAGCCTAAAAGAAAAATAAAATTAAACTTTACTGATCCCCGTGGGGAAATTCTCTAAATTCTCTAGCTGCACCTATACCTCAATTAACAATCAGACCTCTAGCTCTAGAATCAGGATCAATCAATTTGTCTTTTTATGCATGTTGCTTAATATATTCATGTCTTGACTTTTCCTTCCAAAACTTTCAGATGAGACCCATTGTTCTCACCTTCCTCTGTGACATCACGTTGAAACAGCTGAGTGACGCATCATACATCAAACTATTACTGGTTTATCAAAGGGACCCCCCCCAAAAAGAACTGCTTTTCATTTTCCAAAATGAACCAGCTAAGTAATAAACAGCTGAAATAGGATTTGTTACACTCTTTATGTATATGCATGGTAAGATACACCACAAAAATGTGTAGCGCTGATTTGCTACCACAAAAAAGGACATAAACATAAACACTGTGAGACATGAAAAATAAACAATCGTACAATAGTCGACTTTTTGCACTGCATAGTTGGCTTAAAACATGTAGTGCGCGTGGTGATTTTGAATACGTAGACAGTTTCTGGGAAAGACCTCGGCTGTATCGCAGAGATGGTCTGCACCCAAGCCGCTATGGCACAGCTCTTCTAACTGACCAAATCAGAGCGTTACAGACTATTACAGACTGTTTCTCCAGGATCCCTCCTATACAGGAGCGTGTCAAGCGTCGTACGAATAGACACAAGGAAAACAGAAGGAGACTCTCCAATCTCATCAGTATTAAGACCACTCAGCATCAGAGTCCACAACGCCAACAATCATGCAAACTCAAGATGGCCTTACTGAATATTAGAGCTTTGAATAGTAAAACGTTCTTTGTGAATGATCTGATAACTGATCATAAATTAGATTTTATGTTGTTGACTGAGACTTGGTTGAGTACAGATGGAGCAGCATCATTAATAGAAGCTGCACCACCACACTATAGTTTTAATTTTGTAAATCGTAAGGGGAAAAAAGGAGGGGGCCTGGCTGCTGTCTATTGTAATTCTTTTAACTGTAAACATATTGCACTTGGCACTTTCTCTTCTTTTGAGTACTTAGCAATTGTGGTGAATGCTGAGTCAAAAATGATGTTTTTAGTAATTTATAGACCACCTAAATACTCAAATGCTTTTTTAACTGAGTTCTCAGAATTGCTTTCTGTATGTATTACTTCGTATGATCAGGTTTTATCAACTGGCGATTTCAATTTGCATGTAAACAATGCTTCTGATGAGAACGCTATGGATTTTATGCAGCTTCTACATTCAATGAACTTCACACAACACATTACTGGAGTGACACATAACCGAGGACACACATTAGATTTAGTTATTTCAAGAGGACTAAATGTAAACATTAGTCGTCAAGTTGACGTAGCAGTTTCAGATCATCAGTGCATATTTTTTTAAATTGAGACCCCTATTTCTAGATCAGAGTTAGAACCCAATTTCATTAAAAAACCCTACATTAATGAAGCAACTGCTGAAAGGTTTGCATTTGTTCTGAACGAATTGCCTGTTCCCCCTGAGACATTAACGGTTGATGAAAAGGTGATTTATTTTAACAGTCATATTAGAACTGTGCTAGATATACCGGCACCAGTAGTAATCAGGAAAATATCAGTTAAAAAGAAAGTACCATGGAAAAATGAGCATGTGCTAGACCTTAAAAGAGCTTGTCGTAAAGCAGAACGTCTGTGGAGGAAAACTACTGTAAATAAACGGTTCACCTTAATGCTCTTAAACAGTTGATTGATAGTTATAACAAAACAGTACGCAGTGAGAGACAAAAGTATTTCTCAAGTATGATCAGAAATAACAATAACCCGAGAAT